AATAAACGGTCTAAATAATTTTAGTTTGAAATCCTAGTTTTTTTTTTACAACCGCAATATTCAAGCTGCAAAATTGGAGGAAATTACGTATTATTTGTCAACTAAAGGTGCGGCAAAAAGTCATGCACAGCAAGGTGGGCATTTTCGTCTTTTACTACATAAATACTGTTTTCTTCTTAAGGATCAATCTGTCAATTGAACAGAAAGATATGGATAAAATTTGGTTCTTTCTCCACGCATATATCTCTCCGTCTGTAAAGCAAACATTTTCCCTCTATATATTCTGCGACCACTTCACCGAATCACGAGCGACCCCGCCACTGCATTTTCTCTCTCTACAAATATCCTCTCACAAGGAATCTCCAGTTTCTCTCTCTAAGAATCCTCTCTCACACTAGAAATCCTCAGTTTCTCTCTCTAAAATTTCTCTCGAGAAAGCCTCCATTGATCTCCTACATTCTCCTATCTGTAATCTCCCCCCTCTCAGAATCTCTGTTTCTCTTTCTATATAAATCCCTCCCCCTCTCTCTCTCCCGGAAGTTCCACTCTCTCACTCGAAATCCATCTCGCGCCTCTCTGTGCATCTCTGCTACTCTCTCTCTAGAAATCCCTATCCCTCCTCATTGTCAAATTCTGCGTTTCTCTCTCTCTCGAGAAATCCCTCTCCCGCGTCATTGTGAAATTATGCTTTTCTCTCTCTAGAAATCCATGTCTCGCCTTCTGTGAATCCCTGCTACTCTCTCTCTCTCTCTCGACAATGTGAAATAAAGTTCGTTTGCTTAAAGAAGTTTCCCCTTAATTATCAGTTTGACCGCGTTCTCTCTCTAGGTGCAATGTCAAAAAGCAGTATGCGCGCCGCTATGAGGTGCTTCAAGGCCTGCAACAATATCAACAATGTCTACCGATTCGGAGGAGAGAGAAAATGCCTTCATATTCGCAGCCTTTTGTACGATGCAGCTCGTTTTGGTGGATACTCGAGGCCTTTCCTTAATGGAAATCAGTGTAAAAGATTTTTCTCTCTATACGATCAAAATGCTATGATGGCCTTTACCAGGAGGGGTTTTGAGGAAGATGGATATTCAAAAGAATCTACAGGTTCCTCGAAGAGTTTGAGACAACAATTGAAAGGGAGATCTCTTAAGCAGTTTCAGGGGTTTTTACATGACGCTTCTCCAAGGGGGTTCAATTCATCAAAGGAAATGGTAATTTTTTATGCTTTAATAAATGTCCAGAAGATCATTATGCATACAATTGTTTTTTTTTTTTTCAATCACAATTCAGCACTCTTAGTAAATGAAGCAGTCCCTGAAGTAGAGCTTTTTCACTTTACCAATTATGGTTGCTTCTTATTGGAGGGCACAGATAACTCATTCATCACATTTCTTATTTATTTCATGTGTTTTATTAATATTTTTTATTACTCCAATTGTTTTTTTTTTTTTTCCACTTCAATTCTTCGAACTTGTTTATTTGCCTCAAATATGAGCTTTCTAGTTCACCTGTTCTGTAACAATTGTGCATTGTGCATCTCACGAGGGTATACTGTATAGGGTTCATGGCATTTGTTTCATTTGATTTGCTTATCCTTTACACAGGAAATTCTAAACTCACTCCAAAAATGCATAGTATTTTTTCTTCCATTGAGAAAATGATCTAAATAATGCACAAACATATGTTGTTTACTTGGCTAATTCTTAGATGCTTTGTGCTTTAAGCACTACTTATGGGTTTTAATTTTGAAATTGTGCACTTCTGATGACATTTTCTTGTTTTATCCAATCAAATAATTTATTGTTGATCAATTATTGTGAATTCTATGTATCCTATTATGGTTTTTCCTTTTCTTATAAAAACATATGTATTATGTTGGTTTGATATTTATTTTGTTGTGGGACAAGAAATAACCTGAGAAATAGGCCATATCAAAACAATAATATCAAAAGACTCATTTTCCACATGTATGGAAACCTTATGCATTTGGTCTGTGTTCAGGAAATTTGGCCACCAGACTCCCACCTTGAGTTGTGAACATGTTGTTTTTGCATAGGATGCTTCTTTGCTGGGATATTTATTTATTGATTTTGACACTCCTAACTATGGGGCTGGAAGCACATTGCAGAATAAATATGTTTTCATCGTCTTTTGGGGAAGTACAGGAGTATGCTATAATCTCATGGACTATAACTGGCAATGAAATTGATGGATGGCTATGGAGAGAGTATGTAACTCAAAGTTGGGAAATTTACTATTTTGGTAATCCGACTCTCTCCATTATTTGCCATTATTTTCATCAGATGGTGATGATTCCAGTAGGCTATGTTATCTGAATCAATTGGATTATAATCTACTTTCCATTGCTTTTTCATTCACATGAAAATGATATATGATTATTTACTGGGACTCTTATTGTGATTGTAATAAAAAACAGCTACCTTTTTTTTTTCTTCGGAAATGTTTGCGATTTTTCCTTTTATAATTTCATTTTATTTTGGATTGGTTATGTTCTCATCACTCGCATAATTTAATTATGCAAGCAGAACTATCTGCATTGGACCTGCGCATCATTCTCAACATCCGCTAGTGAGACTGCAGGCATGAAGCCAGTTAATGGAAGTGAAAAGCAAATTCAAGTTAATGTCGTCAAAAAAGAACAAACAGAGCAAGTAGCAGACATGAAAATCCTTCGGACCCTTGCAAAATATTTATGGCTGGAAGATAACCTTGAATTTCGTGCAAGAGTTATCATGGCTTTGGGTCTCCTTGTTGGGGCTAAGGTGAGGTGCTATGCCAGAATAATGACATTTAGCCCGTTGTTCATTGTTCTCTAAGATAGTATTTTCTTGCATTCACATTACTGCTCCCTTTCAATGTTTTGCATGAACTAGCTGCTTGAACCCCCTTGATTTTAACTTGTGCTTGTTTGCAGTTGGTAAAAAAGTCATCTGTTAAATGAAATGTATCACATTCTAATCAAGTTATCAATAAAATGCTCTACTTCTCATTAGTTGTTGTTTTTTTCTTTTCTTTCTGTGAATTGAACATGATGTTGAACCCGCAGATGAAGAGTCATTCCTCCAACACCTAAAACTTGGGTGTTTAAAATGAATTTCAGGTTCTTAATGTGCAAGTACCTTTCTTGTTCAAGCTAGCCGTAGATTGGTTAACTGCTTCTGTTGCTGGGGTTACAGTTTCAGAATTTGCAGCTGCCAATCCCACTGCTGTGGCACTTTTTGTGAGCCCTGCAGCTGTCCTAGTTGGCTATGGAATAGCTCGTGCTGGGGCCTCCGCCTGCAATGGTAACTTCTCTTTATGCATATTGAAATATTTAAGAAGAAAACGTAAATTTTCTTTTTATGCTTAATTATAGCAAGAATTTCACATTGCAAAAAGATTTAAAATGTGAAGCTGTCAATCCTAACCGAACCATCAGTTTTCTGGGTCTGGCTTATTACTTTCAGTGATTGTTTTCTTGAACAGTGTTGTATGCTAATGTAGCTAGCCATTTGGCAAAATCATTCACAATGCTGTCAACTTTTTTGAAAAAGAAATATGGTAAAATCATTGTACTTATTTGTAGCATGGATATCATGTTTTACAGAGCTACGTAATGCCTTGTTCTCAAAGGTGGCTTTACGTGCTATTCGGACGGTGTCTAGGAAGGTAAGCCTTCTCTACAAATTATTGGAAATTGAAATGGTAGATTGCATGAATGCATGATCTCCACTGTTCCATGTCCATAGATTTTAGTTTTACCTCTTTTCCCATGCTTTATGTAAATTAGTGAGTCATCACTTCTCACCAGTGGAGAATTTTTAGAGGCTTCAGGTCACATTGTTTGCCCCATTACAAGGCCTATCAATGATTGGTGCTCTGTCTAAGAGGGACTGCCTTATTTTACTGCACTATTTGCATGGCCATCACATTGGCTCTTGTTAATTCACGAGCTCGTATTAGGGATGATAAATGATGACTCCCTGCTATTTATTTGACACATTGAAAAGGAACAAGAAAAGAAAAAGAGAAGAAAGCCGCATTGGTGCCTTTGGTATTGTTTCATGATGATCTTCCTCCATTGTATCACTGTTCCGTACAATGCACTAAGTAAACATTTTCTTTCAAGTTAACCTTTTCTCAAAAAAAAAAAAAAAAAATTTCTTTCATAGTATTTCTTCAAAAAAAATAAAAACATTTTATTTCATAATAGGTATGATTTCTTAAGGGAAACACTCATTGTTTGAACCCAGTACCTCCCTTTGCAACCATGTCACACTATTGGACCAAAAGGCAGGAGCATATTGTGCATTATGTGTCAAAATCATGAAAATCAGTTTTTGATATACCAGTTTTTGTGGGCTATCAGTATCATGCTTTTATATGGCATGTGGATGGTTTTGCATTTTGCATGTGTGGTTGATGCTCTAAGTTTTAAATGTGTTACCTCTTATGTTTGATGCCTGCAACATTAGCATTCAGATTCTTTTCCATACTACGAGCCATAATTTAGATCTCATTTCTCTAGGTATTTGCCCATCTGCATAACCTTGATCTCCGGTATCACTTGAGGTATTGTTCCTCGTCTCATTGATTTCAATGATTACATTCTTCGTGTATTTTATGCATATGGATCAACTTGTTTATTTGTAAAGAGGGCATTTGAATGGTTTTTACTCTCTTACTGATCCAGTTCTGTAAATGCAGTCGGCAAACCGGTGCATTAAATCGCATTATTGATCGTGGTAGTCGTGCAATAAATTTTATATTGACAGCAATGGTATTCAACGTAGTTCCCACCATATTAGAGGTATGTTCCATACCTTTCTAATCTTTAAGCTACTATACTCAGGTTGATCTTTTCATACTAGATAGTCTTTATCTATCAATTGGATCATCCCTGTCCATTGAAATTATGGGCGGTGATCAAGAGAAAGTGGGATCCACCAGAACAGGATATGCTTCTAACTCTCTCCCTATCACTGTTCTTCATGATAATGGATGGTCAATTGTTCATTAACATGATGGCCAATTGGATGGTGATGGTCATTTGTTCATTATTGTGAGATTATTATATGAATAAGATATAGGACTTCTCTGAATGCAAAACGTATTTCTTCAGATATCTATGGTATCAGGCATACTTGCTTACAAGTATGGAACATCCTTCGCTTGGATCACATCTCTATCTGTGGCTGCCTATGTTGCATTTACTTTGGTTGTTACTCAGGTGAGGAGCTATGATCTTGAAAGATAATCTCATAGCATGCTCATCAACTCTTCTGTGGTTGTTCCTGTTAATAATGTTGACTTTGGGGCTCTCTGTAGACTTGTTTTCTTTTCTTTTGGAGTTCCTATGATCATAAAGGAAAGTTTGCTGTGTTCTAATGTGCTTTCTCATTTTACGTAGTTCAGTGGCGAACTAAGTTTCGACAGGCAATGAATAAAGCTGATAATGATGCGAGTTCAAGAGCAATCGATTCATTAATTAATTATGAGGTGTAGTTTTACTATTTTGTACTTAATGTTTATTTGTTATGTAATTCTCGAAAACTTCTTTTAGCTTTTGTTTCCCTGCTTATCGCAATATCTTTTCTCATGTTATTGTTATTCTCGAGAAATTCTCTTAAGTATTGCAGTGGGGCCCTGTGTTTGCAGACTGTCAAGTACTTCAACAATGAGGCTTTTGAAGTCAGAAAATATGATGAGTTTTTAAAGAGTAAGTATATCATGATTACAATCCAATGAGTTTTTAAAGAGTAAGTATATCATGATTACAATGCAATGAGTTTTTAAAGAATAAGTATATCATGATTACAATCCAATGGTTTCCTAACAAATATATCAGAAAAGAAAAAACCCAAGATAGTAGAATGTTTGTTTATGTAACATCTGAATAAGTTAGTCTCCAACACCCCAACCCAAGCATTATGATCACAATGATGACAATAGAGCAATGATCCTTGACTACTAGCACTTTTGACATATCCAGCAGTCCAATAGGCTGGACCATTGTTTTAAAACCCACTGATCCCGATCCAGAATCGCCATTCTGGATTTGGAATCAGCTGGGACTCTTAGTTTCAGGAAGGTACAGGTGCCATTCCCCCCCACCATGCAAAAAAAAAAAAGAAAAAAAAAAAGAAGAGCAAAACCATAAAAAAAGGAATAAACCTCTTTTAAATTTTTTCCAGATTGCCAATTCAAGCGGATGCGGATTGATGAACCGGCATGGATCTGTGGGGCCGACGATCCACCCCACTAATCCAGGTTTTGAAATATCGGGCTGGACACATGGAACGGATTGAAAAACAAGTGACTGACATGTATAATGTTTCTTTTGGTTGTCGAAGCAGCACATTGCATTGCATTTGAATTAATTTTATTTTCTTAAGTTGCCTTTTTTATTTTATTTCTGCATCCATAATTGTTTGGTACTTAATTATTGACAATGGTTCCTATATGGATCCTCTACTGAGTTTGAATTTGGTAATTGGGTTTATTTGCCTGTATCACAATAACCTTGTTTTATAGTTGGGAGGCTCTGATGATGATGATGATCTCAATAACCTTGTTTTGTTCAATGGTTTGGACCTTGTGCTTTTTTTTGGTAATAATTAACGGTATTTCATTGAAGACAAAGTTGGGTGTACAAGTATAATGCCTGTACAAAAATGTATCCTAGGCAAAATGGGCTTATATAATATGTAATTTGAATGACGAGGAAGGTCTTATAAACACCCTCTTTACCCAAGTAATCAGAAACCTTATTAGCCACCAACAATGCTGAAAGTAGGCTCTGAATTGCTGATGATGTCAAATACTTTGTCTAAGACATTGTTCGGCCTCCATGGATAATCTGCACATCTGGCTGCCAAGTGAAAACATAAAATCTGTCCCCTTCATTAAGGTGTCTTTCCAACATGGATCCAAGCAGTGCAGCCCCGTGAGAAGGGCATTGGCTTGGGCTTCATTGCTATTGCAAGCATGAATGGGGCCTGAGAATGTTTTAAGGATTCTTCCAAGGTGGTCCCGGAACACACCTTCAACTCCGGCACATCCATTCTTACCAACAACACTACAATCAAAATCCATTTTGATTGCAACTTCAATAGGTGGTATCGAGTTAGCAGATCTGGCATTCCTTTTATGTGACTCGTTGAGATAAGCTGCCACTGGGACTCTTAAGTTCAAAATTCCTTCATGCCAACATGCAGGACATAATAGTTGTGTTTATCCTCTCTTTTAGCCATGTCAGAGAATGTTGCTTTTCTTTAGATATCCTTCTCTCGCATTGGAGCTGAATTTCCCACATCAAAGCAATTAGGCTCAACCTCCATAATATGTGGCTTCGTTTGGGCATTTGTGGAGTGAACCATTGATTAAACACATCCTCAATCAACTCAATTGTTACCCATTGTATCCCAAATAACTCCAAAGATGCTGTCCAGATGTCACCAGCAACTGGACAATGAAGGAACAGATGTTGCACTGACTCTGCATCCTCTTTGCACATAGTACATCGATTCGGCACGGACATACCTTGATTGATGAAATGGTTGATACTTAAGACCTTATTCAATAAAACCAGCCATCCAAAGGCTATTGTTTTACGAGGGGCCAGATAACCTGAATCCTGTACGATAAATTATTTTCTAAGGGTATGCATGTGAGTTTATTGTAATAAGACTTGACTCTGAACTCACCTTTGCTTTTGGTGGCCCAGATCATTCGATCTTCTCTAGTGGGAAGCTAATAAATGCCCTGTAATTTTTTTTGAAGGAAAGGTTAACAATAAATGCCCTGTAATTCTGCTAACAGGTTAGTGAATTCATCTGTTTTGTCATCTTTGAGGCCCCTTCTAAAGCATGGATACCACATGGTCCTGTGCCACTGTACTATATTTGCCACCATTGGGTTTGTATCACTAGACATAGCGAATATCCTTGGATGCTTTTCTTTTAGTGGTATATCATGTAGCCTATCATGCCACCGAAACAGTGTTCTCTTCCTGTCTCCAATCTGCACACATGCATTAATAATGAACCTTTCTCTCACTCAATCTATCCTTCGCCATTCGACCTATGCCTTTGCTCCTCTTCTTGAAGGTTTTCGTACCCATTCATCATGGTCCACACCATACTTGATGCCTTCAGCAGTCTTCCATAAGTTGCTTGAAGGTTCAGAAATCCTCCACCACTCTAAAAGGGCCATCTTTGTTCTTTGATACTTCATTGGACCTTGTCTTATTGCGAATGCTCTTTTCATCTCATCTCATTATGTGAATAGCAGAGTTAGTGCTGATTTCTCTTAATAGAACTGTAGATCTTTCTATTTATCTCTGTTGATGTTTAATGCTTAGTAACTGATGGAAACAATATTTTTATCTAATTATCAGGGTATGAAGATGCTGCTCTAAAAACCCAAAGTAGCCTTGCTTATCTGAACTTCGGCCAAAATGTGATATTTAGTACAGCTCTATCCACGGCAATGGTATTGTGTTCCCATGGAATTACAAGTGGGACCATGACTGTTGGTGATTTGGTATGTAACACCCTTTTAAAACCATGGATTTTGGCACTTTGTATCTTTTGTTTTTTTAAAGATAATTTATGTTGTATTTTCATTTCATCACTGATAATTTATGTTGTAATTTTTCAATGCATACGTGTCTATATATATGTTGTTTATAATGGAGCAGGTCATGGTTAACGGGCTTCTCTTCCAATTATCTCTACCTCTCAATTTCCTTGGAAGTGTGTATCGTGAAACTCGACAGAGTCTTATTGACATGAAGTCCATGTTTTCATTGCTTGAGGTATGTTTTCTTGATATTTGCTAGTTGCTTTTGATATTTTGAGTTAGTGTATGAAAGATAAACTGGCCTTGAAGAACTGAATGCACTCCAATGTATACGGTTATTCTTTGGCATTTCCTATTCAATCTTCATTACCTTCGTAACCTCCAAAAAAAAAAAATTAAAAAATAAAAAGGGACTAGAACCTTCATGCTCCCTCAGTACTCGTGCCCTTGCCCACCTTGCAAATATTGTTTCTAACTATTGCCCCCAGAAAAGTTATTGTGGTGCTTGTCCAAAAAATTATTTATTCTCAAGAAAATATTGGCATTGAAGACCTCTTTTTTTTTTCTCCCGCACTTTTGATGTTATTTGCTTGATCCATAAGCTAACTTTATCCCCATCATTGGTTTCAATTGTAGGAAAGGCCTGAGATTAGTGACAAGCCCAACTCAAAACCTCTGCAATTGAGTATGGGAAGCATCCAATTCGACAATGTATATTTTGGGTAAATGATTTTTCTTGCAATTTAATATTTTTCTGATTGTATAGCAAGTCCTTTGAACTTCTTCTCTTTTAATTGCATACTTAGCACCTGAATGTCAAATCTGCCAAGCATCAAAATTGAGTTTTAAAAATCATGCATGTGAGATGGCTTACATGATACTAATTTTGAGGATATCGTGATTGTCTCTTATACTGGAGATGTACTTTATCCATTATATCGAAATGGTGTTTCGCCTAAGCTACAAACTGAAAGACCTTGAGTTTCTGCTTCAGCAGCCACAACCCTTACCTCGCATGGTAGACCCCACAGTTCAGAGGTGGGTTAGAAAGGTTATGCAAGCATATTCTGGTGTGGAGTCGCTCAGGAGGAATACAGCTTTGCAGAATTTTAATTCTCTTTCTGTTAAAATTGTAAAGTATTTTACCTGCAATGTTTTTTTTTCTTTTCCTTTCCTTTCTCTCTGTTATGTATCTCTTTATCCCTCCCTCTTACCTCTTTCCCAACACTACTCTCCTCCATCACTATTCTCCTCCATCCCACTTGTTCTTTGGTTTTTGTTTTTTGTTGTAAACAGAGCACCCAACTTGTGGGCTGCCATTTTTTGAAGTATACGGAACACCCAACTTGTGGGCGGCCAATTTTTGATAATCATGTAAATGTTTACCTTTTAATACCAAGTTAACGTTTCTCAAAAAAAAAAAAGGGTGTTTCGCCTAGGCATGCCTCCTTTCAGTATCATATTTTTTCTTTCAAAATAATCAAATTTAGATTACGTTCAACAAGGATAATATATGGTGTTTCAAAAGTTATTAGTAAATGGCTGAGTTTTTCTATTCAATTAATTTTGGACCAAATTGGTTACCATGGCTATGAAGTTTTCCGTTGTCTAGTCCACCTATTTGTTCTCTAAATTAAAGAAATAACTTTGTAAGTTTTGAAGCTGCAACCACTCAGGGCTTTGGACCATCTTGGTTACCTTTAAATTATTCTCTAAGAAAAAAATAATGTTCTCCATAGTTAGTAATTTGATTTTTTAAATATAGGAAATTACAAGAAAGTTCTAAAACTCAGATTTGGTCTGGTACCTAGCCTATTCTAATCCCCAAGTACTGAGTCGATTTGGATGAGCTGCAGATGTCCTTCTCCTTTCTTTGCACATTTCTTCTGTCACTGTTATGTTTGCCACTACGAGGGCCTGATGTATTTGCTGTTCGTCACTTGTTTTGATCATTATTGTCTTTTTTAGGTATCTAACAGAGCGCAATATTCTTGATGGAGTATCATTTGAGGTAGCAGGTGGGAGAAGTGTAGCTATTGTTGGAACCAGTGGCAGTGGTAAGGCCTTAGACGTCTTCTAAATGATCTCACCAGATAGAATAGTTTAGCAAGAATGCCCCAATTTACAAACTCCCTAAATTTACTAGTTTATATGATATTATATGTTCTTGTCTGGAAACATTAATAATGCATCTCTCTAATAAACCAGTTATTCAGTTTCTTAATGAATGTTCTTGTCTGGAAACATTAAATAATGCATCTAATATACCAGTTATTCGTTCAATGTCTATAGAATATTATTAAGTGGATAGCAGAAATATTTGTGATACACTTTTGGTCAAATCATTGTTGAGCTAGGGTTTCTGTGTGTGGAGATTCAGTTGCTCCTTTTATGTCTCCAGAATGTATTTTTCTCCGAGGCAAATGATATTTGTATGTGACTGTCTGAATAGTTTGAGATGTTCTCCAAAGAAAATGTGATGAGGATTTGATATATAAACCCCAGAACCCAGTTTCGATGAGCTGATTCCTATATACCTTAGCTTCACATACGTGAAGAGAGAGAAAAGTCCCAGCATCTATATAAATAATTCTACATTGTTCCTTTTCCCTTAGAGATGGATATCTACATTGTAATAGCATGTAATTTAATGGATATAGCACACATCACTGTATGAATTTTTTGTTGGTTGAAAAGCAACCTTCGTGATCGATCCAAGTTTTAACCCGACACATATTGGTTTTTGTTGTTCTTAACCAACTCTTTTTTTTACTGGATTGCCTTATTTACTTAGCATGGCTGTTTGATCCCAGTTTGTTAATATGTACGTGTAGGTAAGTCAACCATTCTTAGACTTCTGTACAGATTCTTTGACTGTCATAAAGGAGCTGTAAGAATCTTTAACTTCTCCACACTATTTTATATTTTGTTACGTTACATTTTATCATGTTACTATTGTTACATTTTGTAACATCTATGGATTCTGAAATTTTACTGTGACAGATAAGAATCGATGGTCGGGATATAAGGGATGTGACACTTGAGAGTCTCCGGAGATCAATCGGTGTTGTACCACAGGATACTGTGAGTTTCTGAGTATTATCTTCAGCCTCGTTTCCATCTTGAGTTAAAATAAATGTTCTGGACTTCTTCTGAATTTCATCAATACCAAAATTAATGCACAACAGTGTTTCCTTTCTTTACAAACTGAGTCTATATCCACCAGCCTCTACAATTGGCCTCACAAGATTTAGGCCATATTTGGATACGCGTTCCCTTGCTAATGCATCTGCTTCTTTGTTTGTGTCTCAAAGTGAATGAGAAGTGTAACCTTGACTTGGTTCTACAGTCTAAAATTTCTTCTACCACACTGTTTAGCTGCTAAGGACTTTATTGACCCCGAAAAGAAATTAGTTCTTTGCTTCACAATCATTTTTTATAGTGAAATTCATTAAGAAGAAAATGTACAAAAAGGACAATGATCAGGACACGACATTCCAGTGACAAGCTCCCCATCTTCTACTTGAAATATCTTGTTCTCAACCCTCTATTGACCAATGCTCAGCTTCCCTGTTTGCACCTCCCAACCCATTTTGGGACGGAACATCCTTAGATTGTCATATATCAACACTTCGATAAGTTGTGACATCTCCCAAAGAAACCAGCAAATGACTAAAACTTGATATCGGTTAATGTTGAATTTTATTGGATGATAAGATGTAATTAAAAGTTTGTACAAATTTTTCTGGAAGCAACTAAATTCCTGGCTAGGCCCATGTCCTTTTGGGCCTACCTTTTACCCTTTTTGAGAGTTAGTTCAAGTGGAGGGCTCACAAATGGCAAAAGGGTATGCCGAAAAGGATATGGTTAGATTGTTCAAAAATTTGGCCGCCCAACCGCCTAGGCGAAAAAATTCAAAGGATGCTTAGGCGCGGTCTGGGTGGGGTCATTATGCACCTTGTCTCTGGGCGGCTGCCTAGGCGCCGGCCTGTAACACTTTACAGACGTGTGGAAAAAAAACCTCGGTACAGGTCAAAAATTTAATTTTTACGGGGAAAAAGGGTTTTGGGGGGTATTCTAAACCCCCCCCCCCCCCAAAAAAAAACCGTGGCCTTTAGGGTGAGAAAACCCCCCAAAAACCACTCTTTTGTGGTTTAACGAAAGATTGATGAATTTTTTATTTTTTCAATTCTTCCCAAAACAAAGGCAACAGTTCGTGGTTGGGGATTTGGAGCTTCTAATAGTTGATTTTGAGAACTTTTGGCGACCCAATTGACGAGGTTTTCACACCTATTGTAAATATTATTAAGTCATACTGTTTTGAAACTAACATATTAATGATATCATTTCGTATATCTTAATTCTTAAATCCTTAATTATATGATATCTTAATGAGTAAAGTCTTATTATAAAACTAACATAGTAACATCTTAATCTCATATATTCATTTAAAACTTAAAGGGGGGGGGGGGGGGTTTCAATTTTTTTGAGGATTGGGAGGGTACCTTGTTCCTGGACGGGCGCCCGGCCGCCTAGGCGGCCCGTCACCCAAAACACCTAGGCGCTCGAATCTGCATTTTTGAACATTTAACCGTAGTGAGAAAAGATATGGAGACTTATGGCATCACTAAAGGAATGACCCTTAATAGAGCAGAATGACGGATCAGGATTCATGTAGCCGATCCAAATTAGTTGAGAAAAGGTTTCGATGATGATGATGAACTAAATTCCTGGATTTTATAAAGGAACAATGATAAATTTGTTTTTGATTCTTTTTTTGTGTGGTGTAGCACTAATGTAATAAGTTAATTACTCTTGACATTCAATCCTACAGTTGAATGCTGGATTATAAAGGTCATATAAAGAAAGCGAACATTGAATTTATACCTATGTATGCATTTTTTCATTGCAGGTACTTTTTAATGATACTATATTCCACAATATACATTACGGTCGATTATCAGCATCTGAGGAGGAGGTTAGTGAAGAGACTGTTTTGGCATGCAATCAATTTTCTTTCTATTGGTAAGACCATTAATTGCAAAGCACACAATCAACTAGGTACTGACTTCAGACATTTCCTATTCTTCTTAGGTCTACGATGCTGCTCGACATGCTGCCATACATGATACCATCATGCGTTTTCCTGAGAAATATAAAACTGTGGTTGGCGAAAGAGGACTTAAGGTACTAGAAATATTCATATTTGTTGTGGTGATTGGGACAATGTACTTTAACAAACTGAAACAAGGTAGGATTTAGTAAATGATTACAATTTCCTATAGATCATACCTTTTAAAATGTTGCCATCTATTAGTGTGAAATACATAACCATTTAGTAGATACACTGGTAATTTCTGCATCCTGTTTGTGAGATACACTGTCTTTTGCAGTTGAGTGGAGGAGAGAAACAGCGTGTGGCCCTAGCTCGTGCATTTTTGAAGGCACCTCCTATTCTGTGAGAGCTTTTCCTTCTACCTATTCTTCAAATCGTTCCTGTTATAATAGATTCCTTCTTATAATACATGTAATCCACATTCATAGACACTCAATATTTCACATCATTATCTATAGGGTGCGGTCTGTGTAGAGCCTAGGCTCTAAACAATCAAATTAGAGCCTATCTTTAAGTAGTGTCGTGAAATGTGGTTCCAATACTGGAAATTTTTGTAATAGCCTTAAAATATATTTTCATATTTATTTATAAAATTTAAAGCTCCAAAATAGTGTAGATCGACAGATCTATGAAAACTTGAAAATCTTGAAAATTGACAGTCCAGAAAAGCGTTACAAACTACACTATTTCCAAAACTTGAAATCCATTTTTTTTCTTATGTCCTTGCATCTTGATGTCGAGATGATCAATTTGAAGATATTTGGGCATCAAAACAACCTCTTTTGGTGAAATTTTTAAGGTAGGCTCAAACTTGATCGTTTAGAGCCTCGGCTCTATATAAACTTTTCCGTTATCTATAAGCAGTTTACAGGAGCTTCATTATTTAGCTTACATGGAATCTAAGGGAGTAGCGGCAACGTTTAGTCCTTATAAACGCACTCGCACCATGTGTGTACGTGAGTGTGTGAGAGAGGGAGACTGTATAACATGCATATAGTACTTGATATGATGAGCTATCATCTTGAATTTGACAACCTATTCTAACCGTTTTATCTATTTGCCAGGCTGTGTGATGAAGCCACAAGTGCTCTTGACAGTACAACCGAAGCTGAGATTTTAAACGCATTAAAGTCCTTGGCGAACAACAGGACAGCAATCTTCATTGCTCATAGGCTTACAACCGCAATGCAGTGTGATGAGGTGAACCCCACCCCCCCTCTCTCTTTCTCGCACACACATTAATTCTCTAAGGGGAGGACCCCTACATAATCAATTACGAGGGACCTCGTACATAATCATTCCCTACATAAAAGCACACCTATTTTTCCATACACTAGTGGGGGGGTTTGTGCAAGAACTGCATCTGCTATTAATTTTTATGAAAATTTGCCATATCCAAGGACTTAGTTCTAGAAAAGTGTACAATGAGACCATTTATATTTGGTACAAGATAGTCACAATTAATCTTGATCATTGGATATGAAATTGGATGAATGCATTATTCCATTGACCAAGCTCAAACTTCAAAAAAAAAAATCCTCAACTTTCTGACACAAACTATCAGATTTCACATCGAATGGTTATAAATAATTGTGAGCTCATTGTATCAAATGCAAAATGGTCTCATTGTATACAATTCCGTTAGTTCTTGTGTGATATTTATACACAGTGGGCCTTACTACAAGTTTCTCTCTATCAGTCTATGTAAATAATGTTCTCGCTACATTTGCTTCGTCTGCACAAAAATCATATTCACTTATTTTTTTTTAAATTTCGTCTTCCAATCTTATTTGTGCTTTAACTTGCTCATTTTCCCTATTTTTTTGATGAATTTCAGATAATTGTTTTGGAGAATGGTAAGGTTGTTGAACAAGGGCCTCATGACATTCTTGTTTCAATGAGTGGAAGATATGCACAGCTTTGGGGACAGCAGAACAATGACATAAATTAATTAGGGATCAAACTTGAATCTTGAGTTTATTTGTGTTGAATGTGTTATAATATAAATTATATAATTATAAAATAGGAGAAAATTTGAGTTGATAATTTGCGGGAGGAATGTAATTATGCGGAAGTTGGATTTTTGGATTTTATTTTTTTTGGAGGAGAATTTTAGAGGGTTTAGGGTCCTTTATCACTGTTTATAGACCCTCTATTTTAAGGTATATATGTTTTGCGTTATGAGGATCTATACATGAGTTGTAGAATAACCAGTATAACTTAACCTTCATTTTTATAGTCTGATAAAATGTTTGTTTGACCAGTGACTGTAGCTTCACTTTTATAGTGAAGTCTGATAAAACGTTTTTTTGCTTGAATATTGTGTTCATCTCTGATAAAATGTTTCTTAGCTTGAATGTTGTGTTCATCTCTCTCTCATAAATAGTGAAAGTGCTCTTTTAAAAAGTTTTCAATTTTATGTTCTCTCTCTTCATCTAGATGATCAATTAGAAAAATTCAATTTACACTCTACAAAAGGTCAAATTGAGTCTCTCCAACAAGAAATTTTACACCATCCTTTTATTGGATATTGAGATCCAAGTTGTTATTTTTCCTTAAAATTGTCTGAAGATGATAAGGCTGTTTTACAAAAATTGGAATAAAACAGGTACCTCTTGAGGCTTAGATTTAATTGTCTGAATATAGTTGGTGAAACGGATGTTAAAGTGTGTTTGAATTTTTTATTTTTTTGAAAACTGATTGTCACGAAGTTCGAGAATATATCTTTTTGGAATAGTATCTATTCAATGGCATTTTTACAACTATCCAATTTAAACATCCAATTAAGGTGTACTTCCAAATTTTATCATAACATGTAATTTTGATATAAATTTTTTTTAGGATTATTTGAAAATTCATTTTTATATCTAATTATAAAATTTAAAACTCCAAAAATGGCTAAAATCGAGTAGATTTATAAACATATGAAAATCTTGAAAATAGTCGGTTTAGATAATGTGTTGCAAGATGCATTATTTTTAAGATTCAAAATCTCTTTTTTTTTTTTTATATACATACATCTCAATGGCGAAAATTACAGGGTTTTTCTACGTTAAAATAACCTTCTGCAATGGATTTTTGCTATCCATTAGTAATTCTACATTTTAAGGTTGCAATTTTGTATGAACTTTTTCTTTTTACAATTTAAAGGACAAAAATGATTGTAAAGACAATCTCGTATACAATTATCTTCACAATCTAAAAAAAATTAAAATTTTGCTTTAAAAAGTATTATTTTTATTGGAATAAAGACCGGTAGTCATGCACCCAAATTATGAACACCAATAGTCCATCTGATGGGATTAAAAATAATTTCTTTTACTCCAAAATTTGCAAACAAAATGTAGATGGATTTATCATCACACGAACAACTAAAAAAAAAAGAAAAATTGGCTTATATCTCAAACCAAAACCAAATGAATGATATAGGTTCTTAGAGATAACCTTGTAGAATTGCAATGTTAGACATTGACTTTTTAATTGGACGGTGCAGAATTGACGTGTTTTAAGACAATATCAAATCCCCACAGTGATAATGTAAATTACTAAAACCCTACCAATTTCAAGCACCGGAGGTATACAAAATAAAAAAGGGATAAACATATGAAAAAATATATAAATAGACCATTTACTTTTTGTACAAAGAGGTCATAATCACTATTTGTCCTTCAAATTTCAAATCGGGTGTGTAAGACTAAAAGTTCAAAAAAACATTTCTTGAACTTCGTAACATACCCCAAGCCATCCAATTTGACATCTAATGACTAAGAATAGTTATGACCTTGTAGCAAAGATATATGGTCATACAATCCCTAAACATGTTACATTCAAAATAAAGAATTAAATATGTTCAGCAGTCCACACAAATAAAGCCCTCGGATTTTTTCTAGTCCAGTCCCTAGGATTCCCCAAAGCTCCAAGCAAATATCGCTAGTAGCTCGTGTGCGAGAGAGAGAGAGAGAGAGGTCGCTGGAAGAGAAGGGATCAACACGTTCGGGACAAGTTTCATCTGCAAAAACAAGAATGGGGGAACTACAAATATCAAATGCAACCATGAGAGACGATCAATATAGAGAAGAGCATAACTACCACAGCATACAATCACAAATTTCAATCCTAATCTAAAGAGTACATGCATTGAAGTGAAAAATCATTCATCAATCTTTCTTGTTTCTCTCCTTCCAAATTCCTCACAGGCAACGAGATTAAGATCTCCACGTAAAAAGATGTGCTTGCAATAAATATAGGATTACAGTGACTCTAATAACCTGTAACTTGAAGAAATTACCATCTAAAGTTAATTATGTTATAATTTTTAGCACCATAAGAGAAGCTTAGTATCATATAGTTTCAGCACTTTTAAGGGTTTCTTTCAAGTTGGTCAGTTGTAGGAATCAAACTTGAAATATAGCCTCGGTAAAGTCAACTGCAAACTACTTGAGCCCAAGCCCAATTCCTACTTAAAGGTTAATAAACATCAGTAACATAATATAAGCTTGAAGAAATTACCACTTAATGTCATTAAAATAAATATTCAACAAATTTAATTTTCAAAATCCAAGTTAACATGGCGACACTAGACCTTGGACTTGAGGTACGCCATTAATGGTGTCAGATGTTCTTTTTGGTGTGGTACAAGCAGTGTTTAAAAGTTCAGACTCGCCAGGATCCCGAGAGTGAGTCAGAGACCGACTTTATTTTTTGTGAGAATATTTACTTGTATTGAGGAAAAAAGAGAATACAAAGGTTGCCCTCCCACAAGGAATGGTGAAGGACAGTAATACCCTTTACAGGGCAACAGAAATAAAGCCCATAACAGGCAACAGAAGTACAAAGCTATATTAGGATCAAAACCAAAGTAGGTGATCTACGGTGGACGGTCCACAGATTTTGAGCCCAGAGCTCCAGATTTGGCTAGAGAGTCAGCGATGGAGTTAGCCTCTCTCCATGTATGCCTCCAAGCGATTTGCAAGAGGGAGCACCTATGTTGGATTTCGTCAAACACGGACTCTAGCCTCCATGGGCTAGGATAGAAGCCCAAGCTATAACATTGGCAGAATCTCCTTCGATCACCAGAGAGTCTCCTTAGGCCCTGTTGAAGTGTCGAAGGCCATGAAGGAGGGCCATTGCCTCTGCCTCGGTGGAGTCTGAGCTACCGATGGACTGCTCAAAGGAGAGGAGGGTGCAACCGGCATGGTTGCGATAGATGCCACCTACACCAGAGGGTCCAGGATTGCCCAGGGAGCAACCATTGAAATTAAGCTTAATGCACCCCGGAGAGGGAGGTAACCATGAGGCTGATCTAGGAACTCGGGTAGGCCTTAACTGAAGCATAGCCTTCCAATTTTGATGGAAGTCCACTACTGAGAAACACTTAAAAGGTTTAGAGTTGGCTGCCCAAAAGATGACCAAAGATCTCACCTTTTCCATCAGCATGACAGGATTTAGAAAATTCGCCCCTAAAGATTCTCTGGTTCCTTTCCAATCACAGAGTCCAGAGTAAGGCTGCCACAGAAGTTTTCCAAAGAATAATACCTGATCTAGCCCACGGGGGAGAAAGGTAAGAAGAGAAGAGTTGTGGAACAGTCTGAGGGGTGACCCAAACCCAGCCAAAAAGTTGGACAATAGAGCTCCAGAGGAAAGACGCTCCGTCACAATGTAGAAAGAGATGAGCGTTGGTTTCAGCTTATTTCTTACACATGGTGAACCTGTTGGGTAGTTGTAGGCCCCTTCTTTGAAGATGGTCCATGGTTAAGTCCCTCTCATGGGTGGTCACCCAAATAAAGAAGGTGATTTTAGGGGGAGCCAGAGAATCCAGGCCTTAGAGCAACGTGGGCAGGAGAGGGGGGGGGAGGGGAGAGGAGAGCCTCGTAAAAAGAGGCAACTGAAAACACTCCTGAAGGGGAAAGGGTCTAGACCACCTTATCGAAACCCGAAGAAGGGAGGAAAAAGTTGTGGAGCAGGGTCTGCAAATCAATAAAACCTAGTAACTCGGAATCATTAAGGGGCCTTCTGAAGGTAGGGGTCCAAACCCATCCCCGGGGGCAGGGTTCAAAATTCTTAGCAATGGTGGATAACTGGTTTCTAGCCAACCGGTAAAGGGTGGGGAGTAGTTAGAGGCCGACTTCAACGAGTGCACTGCCTGACTTGGCTGAATCTCATAAGAAAAATATGTGAAAAAAACCAAAGACTACAGAGTTGCACCTATTTTAGAGTTTGCCATCTGGGACCACATGAGTCAGGCAAGTCCGAGCCAAAGTCACCATTTAAACATTTTTTTTTATACTGTTGACATTGTATAGATGGATAAGAGAAATACAAAAGGGAACCAAAGGGCCAAAATACAACCATTTTTTGAAACATTGGATACAAGAATAAGAGAATGTGGAGCCACAACAATTTACTGGTCAGATGTATGACTTAGGGACATGGTGCTTCAAGATCGCTTTCAAAGACTAGCAAATGCATCCAGCAATCAAGAAGCCTAAGCCTTTAAATCTTATGCAAAAGAAGGGCACCAGGTTAGCTGGTGCTCTGATTTGCATAGAGACCTAATAGATGATGAAACTTACGAACTCAGTTACCACGTTTGCCCAAGTCGACCTATATACCCAGGTTGGGCTGACAGACTTGTTATGTGCTACGACACTAGCAATAGATTCTCAGTGAAGCCTTTTGCCAAATTCCTCCCACTCGGCAGTCTGACTACCTCTCTATGATCTAGAATCTAGGACGCAAACCTCCTTCCCCCCAGTGAGTCCTCTTGTTCAGATGGTTGCTGACAAACCCCTTGCCACAATTCACTGAGAGTCAGCCTGTCGCACGATTTGTACGTTTAGTGAGAAAAGGCAAGGCCGTGACCACCTGCAACAGAGAGCGATGCAGGTCCTAATATCTGTCTCATGTGCCACAACACTGCAGAGACCTTCAACCATCTCCTTTATTCAGTATTCTTTTGCCTCCTCCATTTGGGCCTACTTTCTTCACCTATTCAATGTTCTTGGGTCACACCTCAAAGCTGTTACAGAGGCTCTTGATAGTTGGCATTATTGGCTCTTAGGCTACTTTGCCCCTTAGCCATTCCTGGGGCATCTGATTTGAGTTGAGAGAAACAAGTGTCTTCAAAACGTAAATACTCAAGATCTAAGAATGCAGGCGAAAAGGTAATAGACTCCATCATTGTTTGCATAGTTGTCTGAGAGGAGTTCTTTGGATATACGGCCATGGAACTGGTAATTAAAAGTGAAAGGTGGTGACCTCTAT